TCAGATAAAAACCTATTAATAAATATTTTAGAAAAGCTCTAGGTTTTAGTACATATTTTAAACTCTGGACAAATATAATGTTTTAAAATAATGAAAATATCAAGGAAACAGATATACTGGGAAGAATCTCTACCTCTGACATGATTCAATGGAAAATGCAACATAGGACACCTTTTGTGCAATAATCATAATTTGTCAGTCAAAATCAAAATTTTGTTTTATCATGATAGACAATCTTTTTTAAAAAATTATTAAGATAATTAGCTAAAGATACGAAGTGTTTGAAAGTGTAATAATATTTACGTTGTTTTTTTATGAATATTTATCTAAGAAAAAATTATTCTCGGATCATCTTCTAAAAAAAAATTATATTATTAATAAATTATTTCTATCCTATCAATATGGGAAAAATGGGGCTGTCCTACAACTATCAGTTTTGAACCAGTAATGTTTTGATAATTAATTTTAAAATTCTATAATACCCCTTTATTATGACATAAAAAGTAATATAGTGAAAATCGCTTGATGCGAAAAACCGGAAGAAAACCAGAAATGACCAAATATAAAGAAAAATTTTATTTTATTTTCCTTCAAATATTTTTATAAGTGGAGACTAAATTGCTTTATATATGTACAAAAAATTAGATTGGGAAGAGCATTGGTCTAAAAGTTATTCACTATATATAATATTGCTCATATTAAAATATACACTAATATTTCAAAACTAAGTCAAAATAAAGCAATTTTTTTTAATAATATGTAATATTTGATGCATATGCGTTTTTTAAGAGTTAGATTCATCATTATAATTTTTTTGTTTAAATCTTTATTGATATATTTTATTTTTATGATTATAGAAGATTATTAATATAATATATTTTATTTTTAGATTATTAATAAATTTTATTTATTTTTCACAAATATATAGGACGTGAAAAAAAGGAACAAAGTGACTTTTTAGTTTTGACTTGTTTTTATTTTTTTTTACTCTTTTTTGATGAGTATATTTTTAGGGTCGTGGCGAAATTAGGAATACAAAATTTAACAAAGGTAAAACGTTATATTTTTTTTTAGGACCGACTAATAATTAAGGATAAACGTTTACTTATATTAATATACTTATAAAAATATTAAATAATTATTTAATGAAGTAAGTTTTAAGTTTGCATTCCTAAGATCAAAAAACTACATGTAACATTTTTATATTATTAATTATTTAAATTTCTAAGTATTTTTATTAAGCCAAATATTGCGTAACCTAGCATTATAAAAACTACATAAATAAATAATATTTACTTTAAAAACATAAAAATCTTATTATAAATAAAATATCATTCCAACTATTTTTTTAGTTGGGTCCCCAATAGTGTTTTTATACTGTAAGATTTGGGTAGACCCGATTAAGATCTTAGTCAAAATAATAAATTGCAAGTAGAGATTTGTTCAGAGATGACTGAAAAACCTGGATATTTATATGCCAAATCTCGAGGCTTGCACAATATTATTTTGGTAAAAATCTAAATAGGGACGTTTTTAAAAATTGACGGGTTTAACAATACTAGTTCCTAAAAAAAAGAGCTATAGTTATATTTAAACATATCAACTCGTATTTTTGCCGTAGAAAGAAAAATTCTCTTGATTCATTGGTAAATGTCTTAATTTTTCAGCTTAGAAGTTTTAAAAATTTTTATGTTAAAGAATGAAATGCCCGTTTGTTGAAAATATATTGGAGTGAATACGTAATTTGATTATTTAAATTTTTTTTATTTTCCTTGTTCCAGCTGTTTGTAAAGGATTCGAATTTTTGCCTGATGGAAAAGAGGAGACACAAGTCAAACAAGAGATTTGCCTGACTTCCAAGGGATTGTAGACAATCCATCTTGTCTCAGACTAGCTTCTGATGATAGATTGATAGGTTCGAGAATATTTGAGAGGAGTATCTTTTAGGCTTCAATTTATTATTAGATTAATTAAGGTATAATTAGGTGTCGACCTTGCCTATATAAACGGTAAAGTTCATGCCTCCTGAACATTATTGATTTTTTGTGTGTTTTATTGAAATATTAGATAGTCTCGCAATTTTATCTTTATATATAAAAAAAAATTGTGATTTTCGAGTAGCCTTTGTCCTACTTAGCTCAAGGTTTAAACTTGCAAAAGCATAATTTTGCTTCAAGGTTTAGCATATATTTCTGATTGTAATAGGAATGAGCCTATTCAACAACCTAAAGAGATATCCAAATTTAGCAAATTCTTTTAAATACTCAAATAGGAATTTAAAATTTTCAAATAAGATAATCAATTTACTTTAAAAAGAAATAATAAATTGAGATATTTATTTTAACAAGTTTATCGGCGTTCCTTTATTAATGAACCATTTTGATAGACTGATATTTAAAAAAATAAATCATTAAGAACATGTTAACAATAATATTTTATGTTAGCGTCTTTCAGAAAATTTATTGAAAGCTAACCTCCTTAAAAATCTACCCTTAGGCCAAGATATTGATCCACCTATTATGCTATAACAACCCTATGATTAATTTTGTTAATTGATTGGTTTTGTAAAACCCAGACACGGGGTTTGGGTCTAAAAATCGAATATACCAGATAGGAGCACGCCCGGGAATAATGTTATTCCAAATAGTTCAAATAAAAAATATTTACCGAAAATATAAAAAGAGCAAAATGCAATGACCATTTTCTGAGGTTAGATAGTAAAGCCCTGCAAGCATCTCAGCTTAAGGTTAAATATTTTTTAATCGGGACCACCTAAGGCTTAGAAATCCCAAAAAAATAAGATTAAAATGAGTTATTATGTTGGTTAGCCGAGCAATTATTTGCAGCTATGCCATCCAAGTTTAGAATTAGATACGAACTTTCTGGCCGGATTTGTTTAATCATAGCTATTTTTTAAACACGTATTGAATTTTTTAAATTTGATATGCCTATGTTTTGCAATAAAATTTTATCAAATATATTGGCCTTTATGGCTTCTATATTTGAATACTTTATTGTTATAAAAAAACCAAATTTTCGTCAAGGGTATAATAAAATATTGTCAAATATAAACAAATAAAAGAATTTTTAAAAGGAACGAAAAAGTGAACAACAATGGTAAATAGTATTATAATCGCGATATATATAATTATTAGCGCGGGGAAGATGTGTTCTAAATTGTTCATTGTTGTGGAAGATTTGCTTTTGTATGCTGTTGTTATCCTTGGTTAAGGTCCATGGTGGTAATCGAGATCTAATCTAAGCCCTAGGAAGTTGTTAATGGTATTGACAGTCCAGAGATAAGGGATGGAGTCCCTATCGTTTCGAATCCAAAGAGATATCTGATCTGGTCTGTTCGATTATCGGGAGAGTAAGGACAAGTTGATTTATATTGTCAAAGAACATCTGAGGGGCTCTATAGCCTATCCAGCTCTTTGATGGTTCATCAGCTGAATTCTCATTTGTTGGAACCCATTATATGTTTTGGGATACCGCAGTAAAGTTTGGTAGCCCTAGTTTCTCGTGGATCTGGGTTAGGACTCTCTCGATGGAAAGAGAGCGTGAACCTCCTTTCTGTAGACATAGAAGCATATGATGGAATCGGTAATGATAATGGGCGGAAAGCCATCATTAACGATTGCGAGAAGGGCCCCACTCCTGCTACAAATATTTCTTTGGCGTTAATGTGGTTGATAGCATGAGCCGGGATGTTAAAGATCAGGAGCATTATGAGATGGACAAATAATCGTATCAGAAGGATATTCCTATATGCGAATCTGAATGCATTTAGGTACACGACTTTGTTACATGTACCTGAGTTGGATCGAATGTGTAATGCAGAGATGATGGTATCCGCCTTTTTGAAGGCTACGTATGTATCCACGAGAAGGGCGATATCTGATTCGTTCATCGTTGCATAGTATGGAAAGAACAACCTCGACATACCAGTGATGGTGTAGGCTAAGTGGTTGACCACTCCAAGTACTCTAGCTGCGATAAGTCTTCCGATTCGCAGTCTCTGTTAGGAATGTCTTCGTAGTACGTTCTAGTCATTTGTCTAGACCCCATCTGGTATTATTATCAGCGCTAATGGTTATCTCAAAAAGATTAATAGGTATACCCAAATATGTTGATGTTTGAGGTAGGGTTTAAGACAGATTTGTTGAGAGCTATAGTGAGACCCCAGCCCTCTAATGTACACATTAGGGATCTGGTTGTCCATTTGATATCAAACTCGTTTTCCCAGTAAATGAGGATGTCATCGAGGTATACGTTATAGCTGGCTTTCCGGTCGGTATTTGCGCATGCGTTTATGATGATGCTCTGGAGGCAATGCGGGCTAAAGGGTACCGCCATGGAAAGAACCTTGTATCTAAACGATTGCCCTTGTAATCTAACCCCAAAGAACTTCTTAACTTGTTCTGAGGCCGATTTAATATCGATTTTACAAGCCAATCTTGCTCTCTCTAGTTTAGAGAACATCAGTGGGATCGATTTCAATTTTAAGGGGCTGTATAAGAAATTTTTAGAAACTTCAGAGAAATCGTTGATGACCGTAGAGCCGTTACTTTTAGGAATTAGATTACGTACAGCGGTGAGCAGATTTGATCGTTTTCATCTGGTTCAATCACTCAGGCTGCTAAGAGCTGTTGAATGATAGGTAGATAATTTTCGTCGGGCTCGAGGGGCGGGCATGGCGAAAATACAGCCCTTCGATGCTATGAATACGAAGACAGTCGAGCCAATTCCCAACAGACCTTTTTAGGCTACAAAACGAGGTAATTGAGGAATCCCGCATTCCGGGAAACAGACATTCGACCCGAATATGTGAGACGGTGCAGTTCCCAGACTGGCTCCAAAGGGTTAACATACCTAAGGGAACTGAGCGGACAATTTTTCTCACCCGACGATGACGACCAGCATTCTGGCGTATCGAAATGAAGCAACAACAATCTACCTCCTTCACCTTCGCCAGAATTGCCCAACGCCAGTCAACAATCTTAGTCCTCATCGGATATTTTCTCACTGTTATTAGATGACTCGGGTATCCAAGAATGGAGGATTGATAACCCTCCTACAGCTTCTTGATTATCTTCACACGTCAACAGTTTGGGGATATAGAGGAGATCTATCATCAGCTTCGTGGTAAGTTCATTCTCGTGGGTATTGTCATCTGAATCTACAGACGTCCTGCATATCCACCATTCAACAACGGAATAACACTAAACATCGCAGAAGCTCTCAGTCGGTTCATTGATGTCTCCCTTCACACACGAGCGGTCACCACCAGAGAGTTCAGACCCAGACTCTAACGTCTTCGTATTTTTAGCAACATAGTGCGGTATTTTGCCATGCCCGCCTCCGCGAAATAAACAAAAATTACCTGATCTTTAACATCTCTCCTCATGCTATCAACCACATTAACGCCAAAGAAGTATTTGTAGCAGAAGTGGGGGCCCTTCTCGCAATTGGTAAATATAGCTCCGGGCCCATTATCATTATCGATTCCATCGTATGCTTCTATGTCTACAAGAAAGGCGGTTCACGCTCTTCATCCATCAAAATAATTTTAACCCAGATCCTCGAGAAACAATTTTGTCGTAATTTTTACGACCAAGCAAATTAACAACACTACCTATGCACTAATGCCACCATTAATAACCTTCAAACAATTTTTGTTAAACTCTTTCAGCAATCATGATTATTTAAGCCAGGAATAACAAATAAACATTAGCCGGTGATAATCAGTTAGTTATTGCTAACTGTATTCTATACAATATCTACGAGCATGTGCAAACCTTTTCTAAAATGTTATCTGAAAATGAGTGATAAGTATATCTATTAACAAATTAAAAATTTTTATCAGTTATTTATACCTTTAAAATATATTTATATCTACAAACTACAAATAGTGTGTAATTTCCCTACCCCACTTTGAATGACTACCACTTATCCTACTTCAAAAAAAAAATTCATTTTTTGAAATCGAGGGTAAAATGATGTCAATAAATATGAATCAAATTTTTTTTTTATTTTAGAAATTCTCGGAATATCTTTAATCAAAATAAAAATTGGCCTAAGCATTTAGATGCGCGATTTGACAAAAGCAAATAAAGAATCTGTCAAATATTCAAAATAAATGAATAACAAACGATTGTTCGATAAAGATATTCGTAATTATAACGATTAGCTACCTAACACGCGGATATATATGGGAATCATATATCCGGATCATATGGTTTTGGAAAATAGTTCTAGATCTAGAATGATTGCTGGAGAATATGGAATAATATTGGATGTTTATGATTTTAATGTTATGCTTAAATATTATTTTATATGTTCATGATTTTCATATGTTGTAAATAATTTTTCAAATAACTAATGAATTTATCAGCGTGTAGCGTCTACATGAGCGGGAGGGGTAGGAACAGTTTGCATCCTATTTTTTGAAGGGAATAGGCTCTATTAATGGGGAGTAGGATAAACATTTTGTTGGTATCTATTAAATTTTAAGATGAAATAGGACATAACTTATTGCTGTAAAAATTAATACTTTTATTATGGAATTATTATAATACAATTCATCGACCAAATCTATATATTGCAAACAATCATACACATTGTTTTCCAAATAAAACTTTCTGCTATCCTTTTAAATTTAATTTAAAAGGTTTAGAAATTTCAGCAAGCTCATAATGCCATAATAATTAATTCATTGTAAATAATGGAGGTTTTAATTGAATTTATTTTCTAAAAAATAAATTCTGTATATTCATAAAATATCGATAGTTGGTAGTAGAGATAGATTAATTTAAGTTATCCTAGATAAATTCTCTGAAAAGAGTATCAATAAATTAAAAAGGTGAAAATAATAATAGACAGACACCGCCGCCGAAAGCAGCGAAATTTTTTAGGGGGTAGGCAAAGGTTTTTGAAGGGGGTTTGCATCCAGTGAAAATCCTGTCATGTAGACGCTGTCAGCACTAACGATAAATTAAAAATCTATAGATGCTTTATCTTGCAGTACTGACGAGGTTGAAATGAGCTTTCATCTTAAGATTTTGATCGTGTTAGATAATCGAGATTAATGGACCTACAATATCATAGATTACAGGTCCATGTATCAATGAAATAAGAATCATAGCGAGTGAATAAAATTAAAAAAAACAGCCCAAAGAAAACGTGAAAATGAAAGATTTATGAAATTTTTTAAATTGCATATTTAAATATTTTTAAAAAAAAAGGATTTTATATATATATCATAATTTTTAACAATACATTTAAAAAATCGTACCCCCCCCCCACCTCTCTGCCAAAGTACTAAGCAATGCACCACGATCTTATATCATTTTAATTCGATTTGGTCATTATTTAGCAAATTGCTATAATGACGGCCAACACCAGATATAATTTTATTACCCTATTCATAAAAATGACACACGATTGACACATATCAGACATGATACTTTTGCAATTTCTTAAATTTTTTTATTCAAAATGGAATCTGCCCATTTCGGACATGATTCTAAACGTCAAATGTATGTTTTTATAATGTTTTCATAAAATATTTAAACACGTCATTAATTTTTTATTATAAATATCGCGGAACCTATCGATTCGTCTTCATGGTTATTTGGAGTTGATACACATTCTAAATGGGTCGAGGTCGAGTTGTGAGAGAGACCACGTCTGTAACAATCATCATGATGTTAAGGAAGTGGTTCGCAGTTTGCACTTTTTGGAACGCCTAGACAAATTGTCAGATAATGTCCCTCAGTTTATTAATTTTCCCGGATATATGATCCTGACTTAAATTAACGATCGTGATCGGCATTTTTTAATATTCGATCCCGATCCTTTTTAAAAATTAATTTTTTACTTAAAAGCAATAAATAAAATAAAAATTTTGAAAATTAAATAAAAATATTATTTTAAAAAAATATATATATCTACATCATATTTTATCAATTTCCATTCCACCTAATTTTATATTTCAACAATTTCCTAAATTTTATCTTGAACGAGATTTATAGCCTACGTTTTATTTAAATATAAATAAATTCTAAGTTTTAATAATGTCCTCCATCATAGATCTAGAAGATAATCATAATACATCGACTAATGATGTGACACTAGATATAAGTGAGAATGAGAATCTTTTACCATTTCATAATTTACGTAAGTATTTTACTTTATGTGAAAAGGATGGAAGTAACTATACAATGATCAGTGCAAAATGCTCTTCATGTAAGAACAAAATATCTCCTTCAAAGATTAGTAGTTCAAACCTCAAAAGGCATTTAGAAGTAATTAAATATTTTAAAAATACAGTTTTTATTATTTATTTATGAAGAGCATAATAATATGCATATAATAAGAATTAGTTACAATAATTAATAAAATATTTATTGATATGTTAATAAGGGCTAAGTTTTGCAGCTATCTGATTTATATGAAAGATCACTTAATTAATCATAAATTAATTATCATTTCTTAATATAGATTTCCTTCACTGTATGATGACAGTAACATATTGGCAGCAATAATTCACAGAAAATTTAGCTAAATTGGCCTTATATCAATCTGCCACAAAATCTGTTGGTAAAAGAAAAGTTAATTGCTCATTTGGACATCAAGCGCTCTTGTGGAGCGCTTTTTTAGTAAAGCTAAACATGTGTTTAATGAAAGACGTGGATGTTTAAATGATAATAATTTAAAAAATATTTTATTATTAAAGGCTAATTTTAATTATAAATAAATATATTCTAATTGTTATACTTATATTATATTATTCAATTACATTAAATTTATACCATATTTAATTTATTTTTATATTAGTTAATTTTGCAACGATCAGAAATTTTTTTCGCAAATTTAAATAAGAAAAGGATCGCGATCCTTTTTTAAAAAATCCGCGATCCTAGATTTCAATCCATTTTTTTTGAAAAGATCGTGATCGGGATTCGATCTTTTTAAAAGGATCGATTAACAAGCCTGCTAAGGATACTATATTCTATAATTCAAATTTAGATATTCCAAAAAATTTTTTATTTAAAATATCAAGATAACTCAAATTTCTAGTTTAATGAAGGTAAAAAAAATTTTTTAATTTTTAAAAATATGTTTACAGGTGATTATTAGTACCATTGATACTAGGAGATCCCAGATTATAAAAGATTATGTAGCAAAATATATTTATATAAAGAAAAGAGAAAATATAAATCGATTGAATATCCTAATTTTTAGAAGATATTATTTAAGCATTCACTATAAATGTATAGAATATATAATTCAATATTTTTGATTTTGGTATACATTTTCTAATAATTTCCTATATCCTCTTTTTTTGAAAAGATAGTGATCGGGATTCGATCTTTTTAAAAGGATCGATTAACAAGCGTGCCCTCAAAGTTTATTTCTAGAGAATTTCGAAATTTCTATTTACTAAAAAAATATTTTAATACAATCAGCACCTTACCCCCCCCCCCCACCCCCCCACCGCAACAAACGGGCCAGCTAAAAGAACAATAAGATCACATAGGAGTTGAGATTTTGCCACTAGAAAAGACGCTAAGAGCCAGAAGACACTCTGGGAAAAGTTATGACAGCATTCAGAGTGAAGAAACCGGCGAAACGGAAAAGACTGATAAAAATTAGGGTCGACAGGATATGTTTCCCAAATGGAAACAACAATGAGGAAGAAATCACAACTATCGAGGAAGCCCATATCATCTGATTGAGGAGTTTTGAAATCTTGAGTATGGTGAAATGTGATAAATGCTATATAAGATATTATTATATTTCATACATTTTATATAAAAGTTTATATGGATTATTATATATATGATTGATGTTTGTGACGTGTTTATGCAATAAGAAATCGATAAATTAAATAGATTTAAGGATAATTGATTAAAATCTATGTCAGCCATAACTTCATTAAAATAATATTTGATAGGTCGAATTCTTTTTTATAAGTTACGGCAAATATAAGTTCAGCATATGATATGATTAAAGACCATTCTGAAAACACTTTCATAATCAATTTTATTTGCATTAGCATCGTCTGATATTAGAGATGAGAGTTATTAAGAAGATTTAAATTTTCTAAACCTTTTTGAATAATTGGAAATATAAAAGCAAAATCCTCCTAATTTTTAATGGAACACCCATTAAATGCTAATTGGTAAAACGTTCTGTCTAAATCGATAGTCCCTTCAATGAGGGCAGGGTATTCTTGCCATAACATTTCTATGTAGTATCACAATAAATTGATGTTGAAAAATGAGGGATCTTTTGTTGTTATAAAGAATCAAAATTATTAATTTCCTCATTATATGGACTCTAACCTTTATTTTAATTATCTGGAATATTAGATATTTTTATGCAGTATTATGCCATAATTTTTTTTAAAAATTCATATAATTAAGAAATTTTAATTCTGATCTCTTTAATAGATTTGAGAATACAGGATAGCTATGTGATGTTATTCATGACCAGGTTTGCCAGGTCTTAATCATGAAAAC